GGGGTAGGGGTTGAACGGGAGGGAGCCACTGGGAGGCATCCACCCCCTCCAACGGCACGTCTACTGCTGGAACTTCTCCATGCTCCGTATTTAGTATCTCTGCCATGAGACAAAAGAGCTTAAAGCCACACGGAACTGCACTGCATGCAGCATGCCTCCTCCTGCTCTTCTGTTCCTGTAGCACCCTTCTGCTGGTGAGGCGCAGCCTCTTCCACGAAGCCTGCCAGATGCACCCCAACAGGGTACAGGAGCCTTCCTGCAGCCCTTTTTCAAACACCACCTCCCCAACCAGAGGGTACAACTCTCGAGGGAGCACAGAAATGGGGCAGACAGGAGCCACAGCAGGGCTCCAGATTCCTGAGACACCCTTTGCCAACCAACCAATGCTCACACCACGCCCATCTTCCAACCACACCATCATCCTCACTCCTCATTTCCAGGAAGTTGTGGGGGAAGTGAGAGACAAATCTCCCATCCCTGTCTACCCACAGCCAGGAAGCAAGTATCAGGGGATTGCTTCCATGGGGGCCATGCAGTGGGAAACCTGGGCTCAGAGAGGTTCAGCCAGTTGCCTGAGGTCACAGAGGCAGATGTACCTGCCTCAGGACTGGACAGCTCGACCACCACCTCCCTCTGCGCTGGGTGAGTAGCTGGAGGTCTCTGGGCAGTTAGGTGCCAGCTACCCAAAGCCCGCAAGTCAGCTCTGAGCCATCACAACCTCAGAAGGGTTCAAGGGTCAGAGGCTCATGTGCACACAGGTGCAAGGAGCTGCGAGTCCAGTTGGAGGCCCACTGCTTCCCAAGCCACAAGCTGAAGATGCCCTCAAGGGCTGGGGTGAGATTTTTATCTCGGCGGTTTCTCTTTAAATTCTTTACGATTACAAAGCAGCGGGGGCTGCCAAGGAACATGATTTACTCCTTGAGCATGCACCAGCTCCTTGCTTAGTGCCAAGGGAGGCTGGAGCCAGGGAGGGGGGTGGCGCCATGCCAGGGAAGCAGAGACCAGGCTTGCGCTGTGGAGGCCCAGCCAGTGGCGGCCTCATCCAAAGCTTGGCTGGACCTAGGAGGGCCACAGCTGCAGGCCCAGGGCCCTGGCCTGGCTGACTCAGGCCTGGCCTTTCAGCAGGCTCTTGAGCCAGCACAAGAACCCCGTATGCCCACTGTTTGCAAAAGCCAATTCTGAGCCACAAGTAAGGTGCCGCCTGCCCAGCACCCCTGGGGTCACCCTTGATCTTAAAGCTCCCGGGCCTCCTCTCTTCCATAATGAGAGCAACTCCAGGTTCAACTGGCTGGCCAGTGTGGCCCCTAGGGAGGAGGGCTAGGGGGATTCTGATGCTGCACCCAGGCCTGATTAAGGCTCCCCCACTTCCACCTCCAGCAGCACTGACCACTCCCATGAGTGACAGGAAGGGGCTGTGACCTTCCAACCGCCTCATCTTCAAACTTTGGTTCTCTGTGGCCACAGGCAAACATGGTGAGCAGTACCTACCCACACACTCACCCTTCCCCACAGAGCAAGCAGGCCATGCCACGGTCAGACAGGGTCACACACTCTTCTCTTCTTGCTTTTTTCATCCCTGAGCTGGGAGGGCTTCCCAGGGGAGTGGGTGGGGGCCTGGCTAGCTTTGGGGGGAGGCTGGAGAGGAGGGGAGAGACTGGATTTCTAGGCTGGAAAAGAACAAACCTGAATGCTGCTGCTTCTGCCTGCCCCACATCATCCCAGCCCTTTCCTGGAGAAGTAAGGCCGGGCACTGCAGGACCTAGCAACTCTTCCTGGCTCGCGAGATAGCTAGAGCCAACAGTGTCACCAGTAACCCACTCCGCATGCCTGGTTGGTTCTCGGTTGGTTCTGGGACAGGATTGGGCCCCACCAGGGAAGCCACTGAGGCCCCATGAGTTTCCTTCCTTCCTCCAGAAACCCCAAGAAGGGCCTGCTCAGGCCTGAAGGGACCCCCCCACCACCAACCTGGGTACCTGCTAAGATTTCTACTGCCTTCATCTTCCCTGACCTCCCCTAGCAAGATGACCTTCTGCTCTGGCTTCTTACTTCTGTCTCAGTTTCCCCAGTAGCCTAGCCACCTCATGCCATCACAGCCCCTCCCTCTCTGGCCACACACCTCTTGGCCCCACATCCTGGCCACCACCAGCAGAGGCACCAGTGGCACATCGGGGGCAGCTTCCTGGGAATAAGGAAATACTCTCCACGCCGAACAAAAGAGCTGGCAGGGGCCCTGCTCTCCCTACCGCTGCCTGGGCGGTGGGAGGTGCCCCAGGGCTGGGGTCATCTCAGGGTAGGTAGGAGAAGGAAGTACTTTTCTGCCCAGACGCGGCCCAAGACTCCTGGGTGAAGCGAACCCCACACCCTGGGCAGGTGTGGGTAGGGGTTAGAGGGTGCATGCATTCAGGAGCTCCCCAGGGCCAGGACACAAAGAACACACTGTGCCTCAGCCCTCTCCCCTGAGCGTGACATTGGCTATGCCACCAATGAAAGCACAGGAGAGGGGCCACAGCAGCCCCCATCCACCTGGTCCCCAAATCCCCTCACACTGCCCCAGCTCTAGGCCTGGCCAGGGTTGCCTGGGCGGGAAGGGCGGGCAGCAAGCCCATGCCTGGCCCAGTTCCTGCTTTTGTTCCTTTATCTGCCTTGGGTGGTGTGGCCCTTATGCCAACACCTCCAGCCTGGAGGGTCTGGCTGTAGCCAGGCCAGAACTGGCATTCTCAGTGAAGCGGGACCCAAGGTTAGACCCGAGCCCCCAGAGGCCAGAGCTGGCAGCTGCTACACCCACCCAAGGCGCAGCTGGAGAAGCTAAGGCACAGGGCCCATATGACCAGCAATGCTTCTGAGGACAACCTTTTCTGGGCCCCTCATGTGCAGCTAGGAGAGACACCCCCCTTGCCAGCCCAGGGCCTGGCTTCTCTAAGCACCAGTTTCCAACCTCACTACAGTGAAAATCTATGGTTAAGGACCACTTCTCGGGCCCGGCGCGGTGGCGCAAGTGGTTAAAGGTCCTCACCTTGCCGCCCGGGATCCCATATGGGCGCCGGTTCTAATCCCGGCAGCCCCGCTTCCCTTCCAGCTCCCTGCCTGTGGCCTGGGAAAGCAGCAGAGGACGGCCCAAAGCTTTGGGAACCTGCGCCCGCGTGGGAGACCCGGAAGAGGCTCCTGGCTTTGGATCGGCATAGTATCGGCCCGTTGCGGCTCACTTGGGGAGTGAATCATCGGACGGAAGATCTTCCTCTCTGTCTCTCCTCTCTGTATATCTGCCTTTCCAATGAAAAAATAATAAAAATAAATCTTTAAAAAAAAAAAAAAAAAAAGGACCACTTCTCCTCCACAGCTGAGACAGGCTAGTCTCTGGGACAGGGCCCCACACCCTGCCCCGCCAGGCATCTACTGTCTCCTGAGCCAGTCTGACTGCACACCTGATTTGGTCACTGCCCAATCCTGAGGTCCTGAGGATTCAGCAAAGGACTGGGGGTCAAGTGATATAAACTAGGCCACGAAGCCAGGTGAAAACAGTGAACTTTACAGGTACAATGGCACAGGGATGGGTAGGCAGGGGTCCTGCAGCTGTACCCCAGGCCATAGCCGCACTGCAGGCAGCACCCCAGGCCCACTGCCAGGGAGCTGGGCTTTTACTCACCGCTGGTGTCGGCTTGAGAGCTAATTGAAAGGGAATCGACCAGACCGAGGCGATGAGGGCGCCAGCCAGGCCAGGACACCAGGGTTCTATTTCTGGACTCGCCTCTGCCTCCTTCTCCTCCCTGCCCTTGGCCCTGCCCTTGCCTGGGCCTCAGTTTCCCTCTTAGGGAAAACAGGAACAAAAGCCCCTTGGAGTTCCAGCTCCCTGGTCCCTCGCATGGATGATCACAAAATCAGAACTCATTTGGACACCTCACAGCCCCTATTAGCACCTTGGGTTGCGGAGGCAGGGAAGGCAAGATATGTGCATGGAAGGGTGGCCACAGCAGGCATCTCACCTTTCCACGCCTGGGGAAAGGGATGCTTCTTCTCATACCCCAGCCAGGGCCAGTCCTCAGTAATTCCAGACATGGGGACAATAAACTGTTCACTCCCCGCCTCCCATCGAGTTGCCGGGGGAGGGGCTCTGTGTAAGGCAAGGCCTGGGCCTCGGCCAAGCCCAGGAAAGGCAAGGTCAGCTCAGTCTTTCACTCTAATATGGCTGTCTGGAAATCTGGTCAGCCTGGGCTGAGTGGGTCCCACCCAGGACAGAAACCTGGACTAAGTTACCTCTGACCAGAGGAAGGCCAAGGTTGGGAACTTGGTAAGGACTCTGGGTCCCTCAGGCCCCATACCCTAGGCTACCTGCCTCAGTGGGAGATTCTGATCATGTAATTCCCTCCCCCAGAAGGTGGATACTGAATAAGCCACCAGCATACTCATGATTTCCATGTACACCTGCCCAGTACATAGTGAAATGCAAAGGTGACGGAGCTGGGGACGAGCCATTCCTCACTCTGTTGACCCTAACCCACCATCAAAACCTCCTAGTGATTCCAAGGCTGAGTGCTTGCCTTGTCATGGGCAGCATCCACCCTCCCGGAGCTCATAAGGTGGCTGACAAGCCAGTCACAGCCAAAGGGGCCCTCCTAGTGTTCTGGGAGCCCCTCCACAGGTCCCACTGTACCTAACCGTCCAACCTTCCACCCCAGAGGCTGACCAGGACATGCCCAGATACAAGCCCATGGCAAGGAGGGGCCTTTGCCAGCCTGGCTTTGGAAGTAGTGACCTGTGCCTCTCCCTAATGAATGCAGAGAGTGAGACATCCTGCAGACCAGGCCCAGAGTACCCAGCCTGAACCTGTTAGAGGTCTGGCCTCAGAACCCTTTACCCAGGATCTCAGGATCCTGTGTGGTGGTACAATTTATCCTCTCTACGCCCCAACCTCTCCCCTCTCTCCTGTGCAACGGACCCAAGTACCAAGGTCACAGGCTGGTACCTGGGGAATAGGGAAGGAAGCAAGGCAGCCAGCCTCTTACCTTTGAAGGAGAGCCGGACTCGGGGTGTGGCCGGGAGGTAGTCCTGGGTGGGGGCAGCTGGCCAGGCCGTGAGTAGCAAAGCCCAGAGGAGGAGGTCAGCGACAGGCATTGTGGGAGGGGCCTAGGGCCCAGGAAGCAGGTTCAGCTCTGTGGACACCTGGAGGGAAACAGTCGGGCAAGGTGAGACAAGTGGGGCAGTACTGGCTGACCAGCCTCTCCTGTCTAGCTCTTCCCTAGGAGCCTCCACTCCTCACCTGAACACAAAGGTGGCTCCACCCCGAGTCTGCGTCTGGGTACAGACCACATCAGGTTTTCATTCTTTCATGATTGATTTATTTATTTGAAAGTCAGAATGACAAAAAGATAGGGAAATCTTCCATCTGATGGTTTACTCGCAAATGTCTACAACAGCCACACATAGCTAGGCCAGACGCAAGCTAGGAGCCTGGGAATCCATCTGGGTCTCCCACATCGTATGTGGCTGGGACCCAAGTTCTTAGACCAGTATCTGCTGCCTTCTCAGGCACATTAGCAAGACCGGAAGCAGAGCAGCCAGCACTCCACTGCAGGATCCCAAGCAGTGGCTGAACCCGCTGTGCCACCATAGCTCTCTTCCACCTGCCTTTGCCTGGGGAGGGGGTCTCTGGTGGGCCTAAAGACCAGGTGACATTGGGCAGTCTGGAGGCAGATGGAGTGCAAACTCAAACCTGGAGCATTCTGAATCCCACCTGCAGGACCCAGCTCCAGCAAGTGATCATGCCTGCCCACCTCCAACATCCCCAACAAGTGGGGGGCGGCACTGCTGCTTCTCCCTCCCCACTTCCAGGAACAGGGGAAGAAGAGATTCACCCCAGCCAAAGCTCTCCTCCCAGCACAAGGAGATCTGGACCTGATTGTTGGGGTGGGGAAAAGAGCGGGGGAGATGAGGAAACAACACATGCGCAAAGCCCAGAAAGAGAGAAGCAGAGAGTAGGGGAGCCCATCTTACCACTCCCAAAGCAGGAAAAACCAAGGTTAGACTAGCAGAAGGACTTTCTGCAAGGAACCACTCCAGCTTTGCCTCCAGAGGGAGTCAGAATGGCCAGAGCAGGTCATGGGACAGCATCTGAGCCAGTTGCTCTGCTTCCTTCAGAATCCCCTCCAACACACATACCCACATACACCCAACAGGTCCAAGTTTCATACTGTGTTTTTCAAATATTGTCTCCCTAGGCAGGCTGGCTGTTGGATAAACGCAGCCCAGCACCAGTTGTTAGAACATATTGCTCCCTCCGGCATCAACCAGCGCCAACTCCCACCCCCACCTGGAGGCACTTGGGGGAGGGTAGGGGCAGCAGCAGCAATAATAACGTGGACCCCATCCTCCAAGTATGACCAATGCAACCCCTTTCCCCAGGGTAGACAGGACCCTGGGATGCTGTGGCCTGTGACTCCATTGGCCCGACTGTCCAGGCAGCAATGTACCGCCCCCCCCCCCATCCACTCCCATCTGATTCCCATCCGCTCCCACCTGATTCGGGCCTTGAGGCCCTGCCTACTTATACCCACTTCCGAACCCTTTGCAGCAACCCATGGCACAGTCTCTCAGGCAGGAAGCACAGCCTGGCCAGGGCCCTGGCCCTGTCCTGTGCTTGCCACACCTCCTCTGTTCCTGTTGGGAAGACACTGCCTACCATCACAGATGGCCCCTCCCAGGGTGGCTGGCGGGGGGTGGGGGGGAGAGAGAAGGGGGCAACAAACTAGCTGAGGGAGTGACAGATTTTGACAAGAAGGCCCAGCAGGAGAAAAGGCTGTGCTGCACCCTCACCCTCAGGGTACACCTGGGAGGCCCCCACCACTCGCTGTGCAGACACACACGCCCACACTTGCATGCCCACACACGTCCTCACAAGCTTGAGTTTGCTCAAGAACTTGACCTGCTGGGGAGGTGGGGCTCAGGGGAGCTGCAGATACCTTCTGGCCCTAGGGCGGGCCGGATGAGAGTTCAGACCTTGGTTTCTGAAGCTCTAACTAGTCTGCCTCCACGACCTCATGTTCCCTGCATCCACTCTCACAGCAACAAGGTCAGGGTCCTCAAGCACAGAACTGCAGTGATCCAAGGTATGCAGAAAGGAGGGGAGGGCATCTCCCTTAATCCTCTGGCTCTTTAAAGAGGCGAATAGGGGATGCTCAAGTGGGCTGGGGCCTCAGATCCAAGTCAAGGCCCCTTCTTTGGCAGCCTGATGAGTGGGGGGAGAAAAGGAGAGGAGGAAAAAAGCAGGACAGAGGGGGAAGAGCAGGGAGTTTCTCTAGTCCCGGATCCCCTGCCCACCCCTGGACACTTTTCATGCATCCCCAGGCTCAGACAGCCCCAGGCAGACCAAGCCTAGACCAGTGGCCAGAGCAGGAAGAGCCACCGCCACCTGGGAGCCCACCAGGAGAGAAGAGAAAGGAGGGAAGGAAGGCTGGCGGGAGGGAGAGAGGGAGGGAGGCAGGCGGAGGGAGGAGAGAGGGAGGAGAGAGGGAGGGACGGAGGAGAGGCGCTGGAACAAAGAAACGAGGAGCTGGGGTTGGCAAGGGGTGCAGGGAAGGGGCGATAGGAGCAAGGACTCCAGAGGCACCTGGGGGGGCAGGACAGGGGGCCAGGTAGTCAGATTGTCCAGCAAGATCCAGACCTCCCAGGCTTAGAGTGTGTGCGGTGGGGGGAGGCCAGACAGCCTGCCTCCTGCTCCGGCTCCGGGCAGGGACAGACTGAGGCTGGCTCCTGGAGCTGCGAACTGGGCTAAGGCAGAAGGAAAGCAGGAGCTGGGGCTGTAAGGGGGTTAGCTGGGTGGGGGTTTATTCACAGCACACGGCCCCCCCACCCGGTTACCCAGCCTTCAGACCCGCCTCCCCAAGAGCTCCTCCCCAGCTTTTCAGCTTCCCCCTCCCCCAACACCTTCTGGACCAAGAAGCAGAGCCATCCCAGCATAACTGGGACTGAACTCCCACCCCTACTCTGTGGCCAGTATTTCCTGGTCAAGGTCACCTGGGCCTGGTTCCATCCTCCCCCAAGTAGGTATGCAGAGCAGTGGGGGCTGAGGCTAGGCAGCAGGCCTGATCTCAGGCCCCCACCTCCACACTTCCGGGCAAGACTGCTACAGAGCTGGGGGAGCAGTAGGGGTAGGCATGCGGAGCACCCCCCACACAGGCCCACTGCTGCGGTCTAAACACTAGACCTAGGGTGCAGGCACACCCCCTGGGCAGCCTGGTGAGAGGCCGCTGGGGCTCATTAAACCCTCTGCTGGGACAAGACTCCTCCAAACCCTGAGTGCACTTTCCTTATCACTCCAACTGGGACAGGAGCTGCTGGGAGACAATCAGTACCCTGTGTTGGCCCAACTCCAGGATGGACACACAGGGCGCCTGCAGTCTGCCCCCTCCCCAAGCACTAATGAGCAGCTGCGGAAACCAAGCTACCTAAAGAACCAAGAGTTACTACTCAGCCAGCCAGCCCGCCTGCCCGCCCGCTCGCCCGCCCCTATCTCCAGCCCACTCCTCTTTGCCAGCACTGCCTGATTCCTGGGCCACCTTGGCACCATCCCATTCCACCAGTTCAGGGCAAGCCCACTAAGCCCCTGCTGTCCTCTGTCCACTTCCCTACTCCCCTCGTTCAAACTACGGCTAGAAGGAAGACCCTCCGGCCTCCCCTTCCCAAAGCCAAGTGCTGGCAGGAAAATCAGGCGTTGGGGAGATCCTGGCGGGCTGCCGGGGTCTTCAAACGGGGACATTGAGGCAGGGTAGGCGCAGCTCTGGGGGAAGAGGGATGCCTCTGGCACCAGCAGAAGGGGATGGGAACTCCAGCTCCAAGAGAGGAGAGGGAGAACGAGCAGAAGCACTCACCCACTCAAAGCCTTGGGGCAAAAAGTTGCTTTGCACGCTGCTGACCCCGCAGGCCCCATCACCCAAACCCACACACCCGCACGCCGGCTCAGATCCAAGAGGTCCCGGCTTGCCCGAACAGGTATACGAAGCCCACCTCGGTCCTGACGCTCGCTGGCCACGGCAGCTCCCCGGCTCTCCAACTCCCACTCCCCGGACACTTCTGTGGAGTTGCGTTGCCTCAGGTCCCAGAGGGGTCGCGCAGTGGCCCAGCCGTCTGCCCACTCCCTTGGGTTCCCGCTGCACTCACCTCTTCCGCGGCGACCGGGCCTGAGTGCCCGGGCAGAGGCGGCGGTGGCGGAGGAGCAGTTCCCACTGGGCAGACCGGCGCTAGAGGCCCCCCGGGGCCATGGCCCTGCCCGCGCCCTCCCGCTGCTGCGCCTCAGCTGGGCTCGGCGCCGCAGCCGCGGCTTAACCGGTTCCGTGGGCTTCGGGCACGTCAGCAACCGAGGCCCCGGGCCCCAGCCCGGGCCATGGGAAGGATCAGGGGAGCACGGGGCCGCCTCCCCCGGGGCGGGCTGCGGGCGCCCCCTGGCCGGCGCACCGAGGGCGCATTCCCCTGCGCGGGGCGCGGGCGGCGGTGCGCGCTCGGCTTCGGGGCGCTGCGCTCGCCTCGGCCCGGTGGCGCTGCGCTCGCCTGCCTTGCCGGAGCGGGGCCGGGCGGCCTCGCCGAGCTGCACCGTTCCTCGCGGCGCGCCCTGGCCCTACGCTGCGCTCGGGGACCGCTGGACCGCCGCGGCCGGCTCGCTAGCTGCTCTGGTCTCGCGGCCGCCGGCGGGACAGGGCGCTTGGAGCCGCGCGGGGAGCGCCCGCAATTGGCCGCCCGTGGGCGACATTTGCATAGCGCGGCCCCGCCCCGCCCGGCCCGCCCGGCCCCACCCCCGGGGCGGGACCCGCCCGGCCGCCGCCCCGCCCTCGCTCCACCTGTCCGCGGGGCTGGGTTCAGGGTTCCCGGGCGGTGGGCGACCCACGCCGCCGTCGCCGGGGGTGGGGGAGGCTGAGCTGCGCCCCGCATCCCCGCCCCCGCTTGGCGGGCGGCGCCCCCGCCCCGCCCTGGCTTTGTCTCTCCGTGGATACACCGCAGACATCGCGCCTGGTGTTTACCCGGGCACTCAACTCCCTGGCGAGAAGGGCGAGCACGCCGGGGGAGCAAGGAGCCGGTGCTCACCTGCGCACCCCCTTCCGCGTCCTTCCTTCCCACTCGTCGCCGACCGCGCCCCTGGCGCCGCGCTGGAGTCCCGCGGGCTCCGGCCTGAGGACCTGTCCGGGCCGCTCAGCAGGTGGCGGTGCAGCCCCTGGGACGGACGGACGGATGGTGCCGTTGGTACCAGAGCAATCCTCCCACGCTGTTCTGCCCAGCTACCTGTGGTCACCTCAACTGCCAGTCCCATTTCAGGCCAGCAGCTGCCACAGACCCTTGCCTTACCGCAGAGGAGCCAGATGTGCTGCAGTCTGCTTTACCTTCAAGCCATCTGGTGAGCAGTCAAGGGCTCAGCAACTGACCAGCGGTCTACCTGGACACCAGGCAGGGGCTGTCTGCCCACGCCAATCCAGCCCCCAAGATCACAGCTTCCCTAACCAGGACCCTGCGACCCTGCACACTCAGCTCAAGGCCGGGGGCATTGGCCCTCCCTGTGTCCTCTTCTTTCTCCTCTCTCCTAATGAGAGCCTACCCCCCCCCCGCCCCCGCAATTCCACTTCTTCCCCGTGCCACGGGAGTGTGGAGTGTGAGGGGTCCTGCAAAGGGTCTCCTGATTTAGAACTTGGAACCTTGTCCACAGGCTCCAAGTGCGTTTGGGCTGGGCATCTGAGGCAAGGAAATACCAGCAGCGGATGATGCAGGTACCAGGGCCACTCTTGCAGTTACCCCACGGTGCCACCATCATCAAAGCAGCTGGGGCCACCACCAGGACAGTACCCAATGGCATCCCTTCCTTCTGTCCATGGTGTCCCTATGGCCAGCCTCTTCTGTCACATTCCTCTTCCTCACATCATGGTCACTAAGACAGAGCTGGGAGGACTCACCAGCGCCTCCAGGTGCTGGGCTGGGGTAGAGATTCCACTGATGGAGCTCCACTCAGACCCTACATGGAGAGGGGACGGGAGAAAGAGAGCATCGAGAGTGAGTCTGGTCACATAGGGTGGATGCTTGTTCTCTTGTCAACAGATAATTAAGTTAAAGTTCATGTGTTGCTGTATGGCAGTGCCAGGCTGAGCATTTTGCATTATTGTGAGAGCGTCAAGAAGCTCCTGGAGGGGAAAAAAGTAGAACTGAAAGGTACATGGTGAGGGAGAGGCAGTGTGGTACAGCCACTGAGCTGCCGCTTGTCGCACCCACACTCCGCACTGGAGTGTGTGATTGAGGATCCGTTTCTCCCCACTTCCGATGCATCCTCCTGTTCATGTGCCTGGGAGGTAGCAAGTACCTGAGCCCCCACACCTAGGCGGGAGACCTCGGAGGACTTCCAGACCCCTGACTTTTAATCACCTAGAGATGAATCAGTGAATAGGAGAGTTCCTTTGTCGCTTTGCCTTTCAAATAAATAACACTTTTTTTTTTTTTAAGAAAAGATAGATTTACTTTGGTGCAGCAGATTTTGAAACCCATACGTAGTTCTTTCACAATATGTATTTTCCTTGAATTTCGGGAGGACCCCTTATTTGTATTACTTGTAGGACTGCTGTATAGTTTTCTGCAGTTGTTTTGTCTTTAATTTCAGGGGTCCAAGGACTCCTTGAAACCAACAAGTTAGGAGGTCCTTCACGCCAGCACACCGGTAGTTATTTGTGCTCAGGGACCTTACACGATTGTCCCCATGGCAGCACTAGAAGAGAGGACCAGGAGAAGTGGGGTGAGGCTTTTAACCATGAGGCAATGGCGCCTGAAAAAGGCAGTACTTTTAGGAGTGGAGTGATGGAGAGTTCCTGGAGAGGGGCTGGGTGGAGATGTGGGGCTCCTGGGAGCCCAGGTAGGTGCTCAGGGTTAGTGATGGCTGCTGGTTCTCAAGCTGCATTGTTGAGCTCAATAAATCTGTATAGAATGAGATCAAGCCCTGGAGCCCACAGGCCAGAAAGCTCTGAACTCTGGGCTGCCTTAACCCTAGGCCCTCTGCCACCCAGGCTGGGCTGTGGTGCAGCCCACAGGGAGCAGGCCAAGCTGTCTTCCTGTGGCCCAGGTCTCCCTCACATCTCTGTGGGCTTCTCAGCTCTCCCTCCACCCCAGCGTATACAGCTCCTGGCTCCCAATGGGGCATCTTGGCATCAGGTTGGTCAAGTGGGTACAGAGGGATGGGGTCTGACTCCCACACTGACTCTGCCCCTTGGGTCTTACCTTAGGGTAGCTCCGTTTCCCTTCACATATGGGTTGGGTGCCCAGGTGATGTAGGCCACATGCTGACTCTGTAGGCTAGGCCTTGTGAGTGATTCAGCCTCCTGGGGACTCCAAGGGGTTCCCTGTCAGCCAACAGTGGGAGTCAGCCTGGGGAAGGAGTCTGTACAGCTCCCAGGGGGCGCCAGGCTGACGGAGCTAAATACACACACACACACACACACACACACACACACACACACGCACACAGAGCTTGGCCCTCCAGCCTAGCCCACCCCAGTCCTGTCTCTCTTTCCCGGGCTGGACTTTGAAGACTGTATCTTGGCCTCCTGGCCTCCCGCAAGTACGCTTCAGCCACCCCGGCCCTCCAAGCGCCAGGAGAAGGTGCAGCTACATGCCGGCTAACTAGCTGAACACTAAAGGCCAGGCTCTTCTGGGAGTAGCTGTGCCCCTAGATGGAGGTGGCACCCACACCAGGCTCCCTCCCCAGCCCCAGGGGGAACCTGTTTCCCGGGCCTGGCAGGCTGAGCAGGCCCTAGCCCGCCCCACACTGCTGGCTCAGGTTTCCCTACTTTCTGGTTTTCTCATCTCCCCTGCCCCAGGCACCGCCTGCTCTCTGGCCCAGCCCCCACAGGCCCGCCCGGAACTGGAACAAGTGAGCTGAGCGAGCAGTGCTATGCCTCGAGAGTGTTAGGAAGGAGACCAGGAGGGGTCCTGGGCAGCCAGTTGGGCAGCCCTGGGGAGGGATAGGCAATGAGGAGTCATCTGTGGCCCAGGGCCAGGCAGAGGTTGGGTACAGCCTCCTCCTGCCCAGCCTGCCCCAGGGGCTGGCTCTAAGCCCATCAAAAGCTGGAATGACCCACCTCCTGGCTGCTCCCCAAAGCTTTTCTGCTGTTGTCCCTCCAGCAAAGTACGTCCTCCCCAGACTCCAATGCCAGTCTAAACGCTGCGTTTCCTCTAGACCTGGGCCTGTGGCCACCTCCTTCCTCCACAAAACTGGGAGGGGTGGTGTGATATGGGGGTGTGGGAGTGGGGGTTCAGCTTCTCCTAGCCTGCTCCTCTCAGCTTCCCTCTTGGGCATCCCAGGGCTCTTGGGGAAGCTGTCCACTCTCGGTCAGCTCTGGGCCGTTGCACGTGCTGTATCCCCAGCCTGCTATCTCTCCTGTTTCCTTCTAGATCCCTTCGATCTCTGGACAGGCATTGTCACCTCCCAGAAAGCCAGCGCTGGTGGTGGCTGGGTCACAGCAGGTTCTGCAATCCCCACCACATACACACACCTCCTCCTCAGGGCACACCCACACCCCTGTGCACGCCCCTGGTTGGGCCCCACACAGATCCATCAGCAGCTGTTTATCCTGGGAGTTCAGAGGGAGTAAAGCAAGAAGCAGGGCACTAAACTCCTAGCTTATTTCTCTACAGTTCCTCATCTCCAGGAGAGAGAGAAAAGGAGATGATAAGGAAGGTGGGGTGGGTTGAGTGGACCTAAGCTTGGCTGGCTTAGCAGTGACCCGTGACCGCCAGCCCGCCTGAGTGCATCCTGTTTAGATAGCGGCCAGACAGCCGTCCCTCACCCCTTGGCCCTGCCCAGCCCCCGCGCAGGAGCTCAGGCTTGTAGCTCAGACAGGATCCGGCAGGCTCCAGAAAAAGGCGTCCCTAGGAATGGTGGGATGAGAAGAGCAGGGTTCCTGGGCCTCCAGATCCTGGGGTTCTGGGTTGGTGAGGGCTGGGCAGCCCCATCCAAGGAGCAATGAGGACCTGGCCCAGAGACCTTGCTTGTGTGGCCAAATGAATGAGGAGAACCTGGCTGTGGCCCTTGGACCTTGCTCTGCTCAGATCGATCCTCCCAGCTCCTCAGGCCCCAAATCCGCGCCTTAGCCCAGCCGCTTCCTATCACATCCACTTTCAGCCCTGGGCTCGAACTTTAAACTTCATCTTCTAAATATACCAGACCTCAGATGACTGCTTCTCACCTTCTGTTCTTGTTCCTCTAAGGTGACAGAGTCAGTTGGGGAGCCTGACCCTGAGGCCATGGAAGAAGGCAGATCTCACCTCTCTTGTCCAAAACCCTCCATCTGCAGAGAGGCACAGCCAAGTTCTTAGCAGCCCTCACTCAGCAGCCCCTTGCCAGACTTCCCTGACTCCTGCACAGCTCCTCCCACTGCTGCTTCCTGTGCTAGGCACCCTGCGGCCTCTGGAACCACCCGCAGGGACTGTCTCCTTTGTCTTCCCACAGGCACCTGAGTGCTCCTCCCCTCACCCCCACCCAGCCTTGGTGCCCAGGTACATCAAGACCTGATCTGTCCACCCTCCTCCAAAGTCCCTGGTCTCTCCTACCTTCCTTCTTCTGCCCCTCCCAGCTCCTCAACCACTGACTTACTTTCCTGTGAAGCTGTCTGCTGCTACTTCTCCCACAGGCAGAATGGAGGCCGCCCTTGGCAGGGGAGGAATGAATGACAATGTG